CCCCCCCGCCTCTCTCTGCCTATGGCTTCAGAGGGAGCCTTTCTGAAGTACAGTGGATAGTATTACGGCTGATAAGGTAAAGCACTGGGTCACAAGGGTTACACAGAGAGCTGAGAGTTGTTTTCACTGTGAACAAAGTTAATCACCTTGTTAGTGAGATTCCCAGGAAACTGCAGGTCACACATGGAAAGAAATAAGGGCATATTCCAGGCCCAGGCTCGGGCTTTGAGCATAGCTCAGTGCTACTCTACCGTTCTGATCTGAAGTCTGTCTCTGTGAAAGACCATGGACAGCCTTGATCCTCAGACAGCGAGAAGCTTCAGCCAGACTCCGGTGGGTGAGGGGCTCCTCCTGTTCCCACATCCCCCTAAACTCACCTTTCTGCCTGGCCCAGGTTATGCAGCAGTGAGTGAGTGCACGATGTCTGAGCTGACCTACCCATCCTGACTCTCTCCTGAGGGTGGGAACAGACTTCTCCCCAGAGTGCACAAGGCAGCTGAATCTCAACACAGTTGTTGATTCTGATTCCAGATCCTGAGCGTGGGTTACTAAGAAGACAGGCAGCAGAGCAAACTTGGTTCTCCTGGGAACACACACACTAGTTGTGTGTGTGTGTGTGTGTGTGTGTGTGTGTGCTCACATTTGTGTGTATAACTGTGTGTGGGCACATGTAGTGCATGTGCGTGTGTGAAGCATGTGCTCATGTGCACATGTGTGTGTATGCATATGTGTGTGTGCATGTGCACACGAGTGTGTGTGTATGTGTAGGCCAGAGGTCAATCTCCATGTCATTCCTTAGGCATTTTCTGTCTTGATTCTTTTTTAGACAAGATCTATCACTAACCTGGAACTCATCAGATAGGTTAGGCCAGCAAGCCAGTGAGCCCCAGGACCCACCCCTTTGCTTCCCCAGGACTGGGGTTACAAGTGTGTGCCACTAGGCCTGGATCTAACAACAGCAACAACAACACCAGCACGAGTTCTGGGGCTAGAGTAAAGCAAACACTTTAACTAAGCTGTCTCCATAGCCCAACATTTTTTTTTTTTTAATTTAAACCAGGGCTTCCAGAGCTGTCACCGCTTCCTTTGTGCAGTGGGCGGGCAGTGTGGAGCCTGGGCCCTGAGTGAGGGCAGGGTGAATGACATTTTCTGGGCCAACGGGGGGTGGGAGGGTACTTCTGGTCACTTTGAGGCTATTTTTTTTTTTTTTGGTAACTTGATTTTGTGGTTCTTGGGTCTGAACTTTGCAGATGACATCAGACCATAGTGTTCAAAAGGTTGGACGTTCCAGAACCTTGCTTTGACTTGTCAGTGCTGCTGGGCACTGGGTTTTTCCCTGAGTGCAACGTCTTTGGAGGTTTGACCTTAGCTCTACCAAGAGCTTGCATGTGTGGGCCGAGGAGTGACAGGCCAAGGTGGAGAAAGCTGAGAGACTGGTGGCAGCTAGGGCTGATGGCCCTGGTAAGGTTTTCTTCTAGTCAAAAATAGACAGAAGTGGGGGGGATGCAGAGAAAAATGAGGCAGCTTAGTTCCCGGGAGGATGCTGTCCTGTGCCAGCCAGGCCAGGCCGGCAGAGCCAGGGACAATGATTGGACCACTGCCCCCTCTGAGCACAGGATGGGGGCTGTGGGATACCCCTGCTGAGGGACTACAGTGGCTGTCCCCAGCTATCTCCCTTTGGTGGCCCTGTGGTTTCCTCAAGGGCCGCCAGCAGCTCTGTGCATGCCCACCCCGCAGGCAGCCTGCCATACGAGTACAAGATCGTGATTGCGGGCAACCACGAGCTGACCTTCGACCAGGAGTTCATGGCGGACCTCATCAAGCAGGACTTTTATTACTTCCCGTCCGTGTCCAAGCTGAAGCCGGAGAACTACGAGAACGTACAGTCTCTGCTGACCAACTGCATCTACCTGCAGGACTCAGAGGTCACGGTGCGTGGCTTCCGGATCTACGGCTCCCCATGGTGAGTGCAGTGAGGGTGAGGCAGAGGGTGGTGGTGACTCCAGTCTCCTTGAGGTGCTCGGGACCCAAACTGGAGGCTCAGGACTGGTGCAATGAGGACACAAGGATCCAGGACTTAGTCTTGTCACGCTCACCCTCTGTTTGACTTCAGGCAGGCTACCGTCAACCACCAGGCCTCAGTTTCCCTGTCTGGAACCAAGGAATGGAAGGGTGACATCACCTATATCCTCTGTGCCACACACACGCACACACACGCACACGCACATGCACACGCACACACACACATGCACGAGCGCATGCACACATGCACGCGCACATGTACGCACACAGGCATGCATACACACACACACACACGTTGTACATGCAGGCAAGTGGTTGTCTTCAACTCATGGATAAAGAAACGGAGTTGAGAGAGAGTACGGACCCTCCAAGACGACACAGCCCGACAGGGGAGGGGCTGCAGCCACAGGGCTTTCTTTCAAACACGAGCCTCTAGTGCGAGGGTCTTCCCTTTCTGCTCATCTCCTGTCTCCCACAGAAAGGCATGTGATTGTCGGAAAGACAATTGATCCACATAATTGAGGACAGGCGTCTGGGACCGTCACGGTCCCACGGGGTTCTCTCCTATACGGGGACAGCAGCTGTTTAAGAATGAATGCACAGGGAATCCTTATTCTGTCGGAAACACAGTGACTGACTGGGCCATTGCTCTGAACTCACCCAGCTGGGCAGTGCTCAAAGTGACCATGGGTCCAGACTATCTCTGTGATGGTCACTGTGTCCATGACAATGGTAACTGACTATAACGGTGCTGCCGTGGACAGCGATGGTGATGGTGATGATGATGGTGGTGGTGGTGGTGATGATGATGAAGGCAATGGTGGTGATGGTGGTGGTAATGTTGGTGAGGATGGCAGTCACCGGTGAGGTTGGTGATGATGAGGATGGTGACAGTGATGATGATCAGGTAATGGACAAGATGGAGATGATTCTGCTTCGGCCTGTGACATCATGTCATTAGTCCATGGAACAAAGCCTCCGCCGTACTTCCGTGGGGCTGATTTGTTGTCCACTTTCTACAAGTGGACAGATCCGTGGCCCTTGCGTGGACACAGGGTGTGAAGTGCTGGCAGGGTGAGAGGAAGCTCCCCAGAGGTGGATGACCCCAGCCTCATGGGAGGAGACGGGCTCTCGTAGGCAGGGAGGGGGTGACACTGAGGAGGGCTCCAGGTGAGCAGAGAAAACACAATACATCTGGGGAGCCCTGGGCCATGGCGTTTGATGTCCCCCAGTGATTTGAGGCTGAGGTGGCGTTAGGTCCCGTGTGGATCTTATGAAGCCCTGGGAAAGGGAGAGGGGCCAGCCTGACCCTTTCTCCAGCCCCAGGAAGAGCCGGCTGTCTCTGCCCGGGGCTTGTGATGCGTCCATGTACTCTCCTGCTGCCTCTGAAGATTTTTGGACACTCAAGGATGTGAGGGACTCAAAACCAAGGGCAAGGACGTGAGAAGGAGGCTGAGGCTGCCTGGCAGGCTGCAGAGGCCGGTCTGAAGCCTGCTCGTGTGACAGCTCATCAGGAACACCTATGGAAGTCTCAGCAAAGTCTTGAGTCCTGAGGCTGGCACAATCTGGGCAGGGCAAAAGGGTGTGGTCATCAGGGTGAGAGGTGGAGGTTCTGAGTGTGAGGTCAAGAATCAAGACTGGATCTCTGCACTGTGGTTTACAGCCTGTCCCAACACATACACATATCACATACATATACATACACATATACATATACACCCATACACGCACACATCACACACATACATAAATACACATATACCACAAACACCACATATACACATATACACACATGTATAGCACAACATGCACACACTCATACATATACACACATGTATATATGCACACACTATACACATACACATCACACACCACATACACATACACACACACTACACACACATACCACATAAACATACATACACACACACCACACATATATACACTCATACATATACACACACGTATATATGCACACACTACACACATACACATCACACACACCACATACACATACATATACACGTACACCACACACACATATACACACACACACATTCACACACATACACCACACACATAGATACCCCAAATGCCACATATACACACATGTATAGCACAACATGCACACACACACACACACACACAGAGCTTCTTAATAAGAGGTTTGTAAAGGTTAAAGGCATGGCTTAGGGACCAAGAAAACAGCTTAATTTTTGCCTCACACTTTGCGGGCTGTATGACCCTGGGCATCACTAGGTGACCTTCTTATGCCTTAGCTCACTTCCTTACAGAGTGGGGGTGTCAGTGTCCCTCCTCCAGTGGTGGCTATAAGGTGTCAGATGGCTCCCCTGAGCCCATGGCGGTTGCTATAGTGCTCAGAGAATGGAGATCTGCCTTGTTTGCGTGGTGTAGGGATGCCCTTCCTACATGCTCTAGTAAGGAAGGCAAGGGGAGTGGAGGAGAGGCACAGAGCTCTCAGGGTCCCACCACCCAGCAGCCGAGCTCCTTAGAGCTGGGTAACTCAGCATTAGGGCTTCCTAGTTGTGTGCTCCTCTGTCCAGGGGACGAGTCATATGCTATCACTGAACTATCAAGAGGATGAGGCTCAGGTGAGGCCAGCTGCCAATTCAACCATTGTCCTGCTGCTTGGAGCTCTGGCCACCAGTGGCCCCAGTGTGACCTTCAGTGTGGACATGACTGGCCTTTCTAGTTCCTGGCTTTCCCCAGGCTGAGAGAGCAAGGGGTCCTTTCTTCTTGACCCCAGACCTGTGTCAGTGGACGCACAGGCTGACCAGCAGAGTAAATGAATAGGGTGCGTGTTGGGGGTGGGGGTATAGGGTG